GTTCTCCTGTTTCTTCTTTCATTTCCTCTAACTGCGCCTCTTCTCCTTGCAGTTCTCCTTCTGTTCCTTCTTTAGTTTCCTCTAACTGTGCCTCCTCTTCTTGCATTGTGTTTTCAGCCATCTGCTCCTCCCTGTCTCTTTCTGCTTCCTCCTCCTTGGTGGCACAAGCGCAGGCTGGGGAACAACAGTGCTGTTGCTTTTCCAGATCCCCTGGGTTCTCAGAGGTTCTGGAATCAGACCTCTGGTTTGAGGTTTTCAGGGACAGCTCTGTCCCCTCAGGGACCAGAGTGCCATCCATGGCACAGGGTATGCTGCTCTCCCCTGAGCCTCCAGAGCCGCTACTGATGTCCACGCCAGAGGAGGACGTGGGCGTGAAGTTCTCTGTCACAGCATGGGACCCAAGGTCTGGCAGAGCCTGGCTCCATGTGAGCTCCCAGAGGCCCGAGTCCAGCTGGTCCTGCCCAAGGTCACATCCCGGCCACAGGTCCTTCGAGATGCGGAGCAACTCCTGGTACCGAGGGGAGTCTTTGAACCTCACTTTGCTGGCAGGAGACCCAGGGTCCTCATCAAAGAACTGGAGACTGGCCAGACAGGTAATGAGGGCCCCGGCTGAGTGGCTGAGCCTCCTGGCCACAGGCCGAGACACTTCGGGCACACTGCTGGGCCGGTTGTGCTTGGAGCCCATCAGTGCCCTCATGATCTGCGTGGAGGCAGACACCCGGCCAGGAAGTGCCCGCAGGCCCACCCCACAGCTGACCGGGGCCCCTCTGTCCACTCCGGCCTCTGCAGGGGCTTCAGAAACTCCCTCTGGAGATGCCCCTTGGGGGATACCCTCTCCTGATGGGGGACCAACATCACCACTCACCGGGAGGACTCCCTCTGGCTCTAGGTCCTGTCCAGCATCCCCTTCCAGGGGCTGTTGTCTGGCGTCAGCTGGCTCCACCAGGCCTCCCAGAGCCTGGTCATCCCCAGGGTCCACCTCAGGGCCTCTCAGGCCATCCCCCGCTGCACCTGTGGTCTCGTCCACCATCTCATATGTCATGAGTACGGGCTCTTCCGGAATGTTGTCCAGCCATTCTCGGACCACCGCCTCTGGAGTCGAGCGGGGCAGCGTGCCAGGGGACATGCCGCTAGCCTCCTCCTGCCCCTGGGGGTCTCCCCGACTATCGGTCTTCTCCTGGGACAGCACCCCACACCTCACACCCTGGCTGGCGCCGCTGCTCCTAGATGCCCCTGAACTGGGGCCAGAGGACGCTGTGAGCTCTGCCTGGTGTGTCTCCTCCTCCTGCTGGCTCCCACCTGGCCCACAGGCAGCACTCCGGTGGCTGCTGCTGGTGCTGGCACAGCTGGAAGGGCGCCTCTCAGGGCAGGGCCGCCCCCTGGGTGGGGTGGGACAGTACCTGCCACACAGCCAGCGGGCCTCCAGGTAGGGTCCCCACTGGGCCTCCTGGGCCAACAGTGTCCCGGTCTGTGAGCAGGAGCGGCCTTGGTGGGGGCCTAATGCCCCTTGCTCAGGCCGTTCAACCTGCAGAACCAATGGCAAGGAAGGCTGCGGGGTGTCCCTGGCCTGATCCCCCAGGCTGGCCGCCCCAGATTTTGGGCAGGAGTTGGATGTGTGAGGCTGCATGGGGGCCGGTGAGCATGTCCTGGACCCTGCCTCCCCTGCCCACCCAGCAGAGGGAACGTTGTTGGGGGAGATCCCAGAGGCACAGTCCGGGTGGCCTCCAGGGGTGACAGTGGCACTGCTGGTTCCCAGAAGGTCCTGGGAAGGAAAAGAGCCCGAGGAGGGAGGTCTCAGGTCCCTGGAGGCTTGTGTCCTGGAGCTCGATGAGCTTCCAGAAGATCGTGGCACTGAGCCATCCCGGCAGGCCCTTCGCTGCTGAGGAGGCCTCGGCACTTGCTTGGTTGCAGGGGAGTCCAGCGGGCTGTGGGTACCCCTGCAGTAGCGACACTGCCTGGGAGAGTCTCTTGGGGCCACTCGGCCAAGGCCAGGGCTGCTGGGTGAGGACACCACACTGGCCCGGCTCTTGTGCCTTCTCCGCCTCTGCTGGGCTGAAGTGCAGGTGGGAGGGGTGGAAGAGGCTCCTTCCGAGTCCCAGGAGCTGGAAAGGCCCGAAGCCAGAGGCTCCCTCATCACAGATGCACCGCTGGCCTGCTGGTGCTCGGTGCCATGTCCTGGCATCTCCGCCTGCAGGTCCTCACTCCTTAAAGATGAAAGACTCAGGGCTGGAGAACCCAGGACGCCTCCCTCAGTGGCCTCCTGCTGGGAGGTCTCAGCCCTTACCTTGCCCAGGCAGCCCCGGGTCCGCCCGCCCCATTCGCTGGATCCTTCCCTGCTGCTGGCTGATGAGTCCGAAGAAGTCCCCTCCTCACTCTGGGCCCTGGATGTTAGGCGGCTGCCTTGCTCTGGGCTGCCCAGCCATGCTCCGTCTGTGCACATGCTGGGCTCCTCACCCAGCCTCCCGCCAGCTTCCCACTCGGCCCCTCTCCGGGCAGAGGAGCTGCCACTGTCCATCCTGTCTTCTGGGATCCTGGGGCAGCAGGAAGAGTCTGGCTCTGAGCCCTCGGGGTGGCCGGTGCTGGAGGCGGGGCTGGCGCTGTCCTGGCTGCATCTCTCCCTCCCGGGAGCCCTGCAGTCCCACAGGCCACTGCAGCGGACGTGCTGGGCCAGTCCCCACCTTTTCCGAGCTGCCACTCTCTCTCCCTGGGAGGCATGCAGGGGATTCGTCCAGATTTCATACTTGGGCCCTGGATGCCCACCTCGGCCAAAGGCTTCCCCGCATCCCACCCTGCAGGGCCGGGGTCCCCACACCCCAGGCTGTGAGAAGCCCCAGGGGTAGCCCTCCCACACATAGCAGAGAGGGTCCACCTCCCCCAGAACGGGGTCCTCCCCGCCGGCTGTGCTGAGGGCGGTGGCCCGGCCCATCCTCCGGGACCACAGAAGTGTGTCCTCGCCAACCAGGTGGAAGCGGACTTTCATCTCCACGGACAGGCTGCCGTCCTCGTTCATGCGGACCTTCTTCTTCATGTCATCGCCGGCCACCAGCGGGCCCGGCTGCGCCGGCGTGTCTTGAGGGTGCCTGTCAGGAGCAGGGCCCGCCAGCAGGTCACTGGGACCAGGCCTCTCTGGCAGCTGTGGCCTGCTGCCTGACTGGGACCGTGAATGGATCACGCTCGGCTTGGTCTTTGGCCCCCAGCTCCCTGGCATGCAGCAAAGAGGAAAAGAAAAGAGGAAAAGATGATATAGTCATGAGCCTGCCACCACCTGGATACCACCACTGCCTCCAAAATGCACGGTAAGGGCCAGGCGCAGTGGCTCATGCTGGTAATCCAAGCACCCAACCGAGGCGGGAGGACTGCCTGAGCTCAGGGTTTCAAGACCAGCCTGGGCAACATAATGAGACGCCAACTCTACAAAAAAAAAAAGTTAAAAAATAATTAGCTAAGCATGGTAGTATGCCCTACAGTCCCAGCTTCCTAGCTACTTGGAAGGCTGAGGCGGGAGAATCCCCTGAGTCCCAGAGTTCGAGGCTGCAGTGAGCTGTGTGCCACTGCACTCCAACCTGGATGACAGAGTGAGACCATTAAAAAAAAAAAAAGAGCATGTTAAGGGCAGAGCTGTTCTAGAATGACAATCCACAGAGCTACCAGTCTGTGAACTGGCATCGTCTAGCAAGGAGAACTTGAGCCTGAATTCAGTCTCAACTCTGCCACTTCCTAGCTGCGTAGTTTTTGGCAGAGCCTGTTTTCTCAACCGTAAAATAAGCATAATAATATTGATGGAGTCGGTTCATATTAATGCATGGCCATACATATAAAACTTCCTCCATCGTTGCTGGCACACAGTAGGCTCTCGAGAGATGCACACTTGGCAGGCAGAGCGGCAGTGCCCAGAGCTTGCTCCTAGCCCTCCTCATGCCCACCGCCAGCTCAGAAGGTGAAATCGATAAACTGCTGCATATGACCCTGATTGTTAACTGTTATATGCCCTGCGATTATTAGTGGTGATTTATCACCCTAACCCTCATCAAGCTCCTGGGTTGATAATTGATTGCAGGGAAAGACCCGGCTGCACGGTATCAGGTCCTGCTAGTCAAGCCTGCACCCCAGCCATGAAAGAGAGAAGAAAGGGCCGCTGGGGATGCAAAGGAGTGGCTCTAAGGAAGGATGCACCAGGCATGGTGGCTCACACCTGTAATCCCGGCACTTTGGGAGGCCAAGGCAGGTGGATCACCTGAGGTCAGGAGTTCGAGACCAGCCTGACCAACGTGGGGAAACCCCGTCTCTATTAAAAATGCAAAAAAATAGCTGGGGGTTGTGGCAGGTGCCTGTAATTCCAGCTACTTGGGAGGCTGAGGTACGAAAATTGCTGGAACCCAGGAGGCGGAGGTTGCAGTAAGCCAAGATCACGTTACTGCACTCCAGCCTAGGTGATAGAGCAAGACTCTGTTTCAAAAAAAGAAAAAAAAAAAAAGGATGAATGAATGAAGCCCTTAAGTGCTTTCGAATTTCATCTTCAGAGCCAACACGCGGCAAGAGGGTAGTGCTAGCAGAGGCTGAGTCTACAGTTAGCAAAAGAATAGACCCCAGGTGCACATCTGGGCAGAAGATGGTTTTGCCCAGTCCTGCCCCCCCACAGGGGCCAAATGAGGCTGAGGACTCCTCCAGGGAGGGGCCCAGAGTAAATTGTCCTTGTGCCTCCACTACCTGTCCTACAGGGATCACTGAGCCTGTCCTTGTTGGTATTTGCTGAGCTTTTCACAAAGGATAGTAAGTACTTTGTTTAGTAAGTACTTTGTTTACTCATCACATTTTTCCATTATCAAACTGCATTTGTTAATTGTGCTTTTAAAAACTAAGTGTGTGTGGTTTTAAAGAATAACATAGTACAGACTGGCTCATTGGCTGGCTGGCTGGCTGGATGACCCATGGCCTTGGTTAGTTTTAGTTCTTTTGCCCCCGTGCAGGCCACCACTGTTGCCTGAGACTGTTGTGACCATGAAAGGATGTCACAACACACACAGCCCATTGCTGCCATGATGTCATGCCCACTGCAGTTGTTCCTTTTTGAGACAGGGTCTCTGTTGCCTGGGCTGGAGAGCAGTGGCGTGACCATGACTTACTGAAGTCTCAAACTCCTGGGCTCAAATGATCCTCCCACCTCTGCCTCCTAAGTAGCTGGGACCACAGGCATGTGCCACCATGCCTGGCTAATTTGTTCATTTACTTATTTATTTTTTCGGTAAAGGCAGGGTCTTGCTCTGTTGTCTAGGCCTGTCTTGAACTCCTGGGCTCAAGTGATCTTCCTGCCCTGGCCTCCCAAACTGCTGGGATTACAGGTGTGAGCCTCTGCGCCTGTGGTTCTTAATAAAATTTATTTTAGATTCTAGAAATTTCAAGTTCAAGATGTCTTAATCCCTGTTCTATTTATTTATTTATTTAGAGACAGGCTCCCTTCTCTGCCATCCAGGCTGGACTGAAGTGGTACAATCACGGCTCACTGCAGCCTCAACCGCACAGGCTCAAGTGATCCTCCCACCTCAGACTCTCAAGTAGCTGGAACTATAGGCATGTGCCATTATGCCTGGCCAAATTTTTTGTATTTTTTTGTAGCGACAGAGTCTTATTATGTTGCCCAGGTTGGTGGACTCAAGCAGTCCTCTCACTTTGGCCTCCCAAAGTGCTGAAATTACAGACATGAGCCACTGTACCCAGCCTCTGTTCCTTTTATACGCCAAGCACTGCCTTCTCCTATCTCAGTCAAATGTTCAACCCAAGTGAGGCTGACAGTGATGAGAAGAAGGAAGAGGCAAGAGAGATCCCAAAATGACTGGGATACCTAAGATTTGGGGCCAAAGGGAAGTTTCCCAAATTATCTGGAAGGTATCCACTCAGCCCTACTGAACCACCATCCAGGGCAAATCAGATGGGAGAAATTCAAACACCAACTCACCGTTTTTGTTTCTTGAAGTCAGCCCAGATAAAGTTCCAGCCTCACTTCTCCTGGCATTTTCCATGGCTGGAGGTCTGAAGGCCTCATACCCGGCGCATACCAGCACAGAGGGGCTGTGCAGCAGGGCCTGCAGTGAGTCCACCTGAGGGAGGGCGAGGGGTCAGGAGGCCTGGGCTGCAGACACCCTCTGTCCAAGGCCTGGGGGAGGAAGGCCAGTCTCGCCAGCCCTGTCCTGATTTCTGCCCATCTCACCCCAGTTTCCTGGTCCAAGGAGGAGTCTTTTCCACTCCCCCTAGCACCTCCATCACTAGCTGGGGGCTGAGGTCCCACCACCATGATCTCCCGCTCTAACTATACCCCTCCCTCCACCAGATGTGAGGCCTGTGATCGAAGGTCACTCTGGATGCCGCTGCTGCGAAAGACGTCTGCAGGCTGCGTCTCTGCCCACATGTCCAGCCTCTAGAACATGTATTCCCTGAAGCAGCCAGAGCAGCACCTGCTCCAGCTCCCACAGGGAGGCCCGATTCACTCTCTCACCCTTTTCCCAAACGGAGGAGCCTCTGTGCTGCCTGACCTGTGTTTTCTAGTACAATCTGAGTCTGTTGCCTCTTCCTCTGCCCAAGTGGTGGGAAGAGGGGCTAGGCACCACTCTCCCTGCAGGGACCCCTTCTCTTCCAGACTCCTGCAATGGTATCTAAGGTCCTGACCCTCCCCAGACCCATCAGGATGTCCTCTACCCACTGCTGGGCTCAGGGCAGGCCATGTCACTGCAGTACTCCTTTGCAGTAGACAGGTCCCTGGACCCAGAGGCCCCTGCAGATCTCAGGGTTTGCACTGTTGATGGGATTACATTGTAATTAGCAATGCTGGGGAACGTATCTCCATCTTTAAAGCATAGAGCATGTTCTTTTTCATTTTCTAAAATTAGAAGGGTACGCTCATTAACAAAAAAAATGAAAGAGGAAACATTACATTATCTTTCCCAAAAATATGTCATAGAAATGTGTTGTCCACTAGGTCTTTCAGCCTAGCAAATTAGAAGTTGGTTTTAAATGACTAGGTCCATGGCTTCTTTGCCTTTTGGCTAAGACCAAGTGTAAATGACTAGGTCCATTTTTTCTTTGATTTAGATTTCTAGTCCATCAAAAAAATACAAACATGACCCAAGTCTATGAATTCATAGATGCAGCCATGCTTCTAGGGAATCAGACTCTCCAGGAAAGAAGAAAATATTAAAGACTAAATGATGCTCCCACTCCTAGGGAGAGGCAGAAGCCTAAAATCCACAGGAAAAGGAGCATTTTCAAGAACAACTATCCGGGAGGGAACGCGAACGTTGATAATCATGTTTTGATTCTTCCTGGGGAGAAAGGAGGTCATTATGTTTACAGAAACTCTAACAGCTCTGCAATAAGTCTAGGTGAAAATACCCTAACGTCTTTCCTCCGGTTCACTCATATTGTGCCAGCTCTCTCCATCACCGCACCCACTAAATTGTAGCTAACTCAAGGTAGGGATCTTGTCTCATTTGTCTGTTTATACGGCACACGCTAGTCCATGGTAATGCACGCCAACTCAAAAGCATCCTTGCATTACATTGCAATTAGCAATGCTTGCGGATGTATTTCCATCTTTAAAGCACAAGGCATGTTCTTTTTCCTTTTCCAAACATGTTAGCTCTATCATTTGCCACCCAGGCAACTAGGAGCAAATTATTTAATCTCTGTGCTTGACTTTTCTTATCTGTCCCAAGGGGATAATAATATCAGCTACCAGCCAAATGCAGTGGCTCACATCTGTAATCTCAGAACTTTGAGAGGCTGAGGCAGGTAGATCCCTTGAGCCCAGGAGTTTGAGATCAGCCTGGGCAATATGGTGAAACCCTGTTTCTACTAAAAAATACCAATAAAATTAGCCAGGCGTAGTGGCATGTGACTGCAATTCCAGCTGCTTGGGAGGCTGAGGTGGAAGGATCACTTGAGCCCAGGAGGTCGAGGCCGCAATGAGCTGAGATTGTGCTACTACACTTCAGCCCGGGCAACAGAGTCAGAGGCTGTCTCAAATATTAATAATAATAAAGAATAATAGTAATATATCAGGTACCTGGTGAGTTTGTGTGGTGAATGCTAAGCCCTAGACCAGCTACTTCTATCCCACTGTTTCTGGTGTGCTTTCCAGTACTGCAGAGATTTCTTTGTTTGTTTTGGTTTTGTTTGTTTGTTTGTTTTTGAGACTGAGTCTTGCTCAGTCGCTCAGGCTGGAGTGCAGTGGTGCAACCTCCACCTCCCAGTTCCAAGCGATTCTTCTGCCTCAGCCTCCGAGTAGCTGGGACTACAGGCATGCACAACCATGCCAGGCTAATTTTGAATTTTTTGTAGAGTTGGAGTTTCCCCATGTTGGCCAGGCTGGTCTCGAACTTCTGACCTCAAGTGATCCACCTGCCTTGGCCTCCCAAAGTGCTGGGATTACAGGTGTGAACCACCACACTTGGCCCAGGACTGCAGAGTTTAGAAAGCTGCCAGCCCATTTCCTGAACTCCCTTGCAGCTTGGTGTCTAAATGCAAAATAAGTCTCACTAATTAGATGCACTTGTGCAGGGCGTGGAACATGGCGGCGAAGCAGAGGTCATCTTCCTTTTGTTCCTGACTCTTGCCACAAGCAAAATGAAGTCAAAGATGCAGAGAGACGTGTGCCGCTGAGACGGCAAAAGATGCCCTCGTTGTTCTAGTACCCGTCATCTTCCCATCTGGGATCCCAGCAATGGTGGGGTAATTCAGAGCTCAGTCACTCCAGAGGCAATCCCCAAAACCCCCTTTCCTCATTTCGTAGACACCACTGACAGGTTGGTCTGAAGCATTCTGGGAGTCTTTTCCAGGACCCAGCCTGTGCTCCTCCAGCCTTTCAGTGAATCTCTAAGCATCAAACACTCTGAGTGTAATTCCTTCCTGCTTAAGATGCTGGGAGAGGATTCTGTTTCCCGTACTGAAGCATGGCTGACACAGAGTATCACATCGGAGGCGGCCACAGGCAATGGACCTTCAAAGATAGGAATCTGGGATTCATGTTCTCATCTGGATGATGTGAAGGTGGTGATAAACTGGTGACAATGGGGCATTCGTAGTATGTGGCACACAAGTGACAACATAGTTCTTAGATGATCCCCTCTGATAGTAGAAAGCAGTGCTTCCTGAGAGCAGGACTTGGACCCTCCACTGGCTGTGGGGATAGCCTCTTCGAATGAGAGTGAGAACTGCAAGGGCTATGGAGTGGGCTGGCCACTTCCAACTTTTGAAAAATGGCAAGTTCAAGGTCTAAGCCCTAACTCGAGGATGGCCAGAGGACCTGGGGGCTTCTGCAACTGCTGTCAAAGAGTCTCTTTTCTCTTGTTGCCAAAACTCAAATGCAGAACTGCTTCTGCTGGTGGCTGAAAGACAACTGAACCCGGTGTTAGGTGTGCCATCAAGCCATAAAGCAGGGGTGCTGTGCGGAGTGGACCCTGATCACCAGGTGGAGGTGACACAGACTAGATCAGGGTCAAGAAGCTTGACTGAGGCATCAGTAAGTTGCTCGAGCAGGGGGCCCACACCCCAGCTCACCTGCTCCTGCCGTGTTTCCATCCCTCCTCAGCACACACCTATGACTTCCTAGGAAATTCCCCGTCCCAGCTAACTGAAGAAGAAAAGATTCTATTCTGGCTTTCAGACAGTTGCCGAGAGTATGCTGACATGACCAAGGGGTGGCTGCTGTGTTGATAGACTCGCTTGGGCCATGAAGGGCAGTGGGGAAGGAAAACCCAGGGGACAGAGTGATTTGGTGACTACTTGGAAGAAGCAATGGCAAGAGGTTCTAGAGTAATTTATGGGCAGTGGGCAGTGGTTAGCAGTTAAATCTGACAATCAAGGGACTTGAAGGAAGGGGACTGGAGGATGGGTGACAGGAAGTCCAGAGACGAATCTGAATGGATCACTCAGAACTGGCCCAGAGGGTGAGAACATTGGTGACCCCCGTGCATGTTTACCAAAAGATGAAAATCCTGTGGATACACTGACCAGCTCTGCAAAGTCAACCATCTGCTTCCTCCAGCCACCCCAGGTATGCTCAGGCAGCTCCTGAACAAAGTGGCAAAGAGGCTTCAACTAGCAGCAGACGCTCCACCTCATTCAAGCAAACCTCGCTGCCCCCTCTGCTCATGGCCTGATCTGCTAAGAGCAGAGACCCAGTGATTCATATCAGACCTTGAGGGACGCAGCCAGACCCCTGGTGGAAACCTAATGACATCAAACCGCTCTGATATGGTGGTGTTCAGCAATCTGTGCCCACTGTAACAGACACCTGCTTCACAGGTAGATTTTGAACCTGGCCCATCATCCTTCTCTGCCCTCCATGGACTCACCGAATGCCTTGCTCATCCTTGCCAAAACCCAGGAAGATCCATGCAAAGTTCCATCCAAATGACTGATTTTATAGCAAAGATGTGAGATGGGCTAACACCCATGGAACTCACTGTGTGGCCATGTACCCCATCACCCAAAGCAGCTCTAACTTATGAAACAATAGAATATTCTATGGAAGACCCAGTTTGGGCAGCAGCTAGAAGACGTCACTTTATGATGTTGGAATGTTGTCTTACAGGATGTGATATGTGCTCTGAACTACCAACTGATACTTAGTGCTGTTTCTCTGGCAATAAGACACCTGTGACCTCACTGCACACATTCTGCTTTCCATCCCAACAGTTTTGGTCTCTGCAAGCTATACAGTGAATCCCATGGGTGTTGGTCCACTCTCTCACTTCTTTTGCTATAAAATTAGTTCTCCGGATAGAAGTGATCTGCATGGGTTATGGCATAGGTTTGGCAGGCTCAGGACCCAAGGGAGAATGATGCTTCTTAGAAGACACAAGAGTGGGCTGGACATGGTGGCTCACACCTGTAATCTCAGCACTTTGGGAGGCCGAGGTGTGTGGATCACCTGAGGTCGGGAGTTTGAGACCAGCGTGGCCAACATGGTGAAACTTCATCTCTACTAAAAATATGAAAATTAGCCAAGTATAGTGGTGGGCTCCTGTAATTCCAGCTACTTGGGAGCCTGATGCAAGAGAATCACTTGAATTTGTGAGGCCAAGGTTGCAGTGAGCCGAGATTGCACCACTGCACTCCAGCCTGGGCAATAAGAGTGAGAGTCTGTCTCTAAAAAGAAGGACTAGGAGGAGGGGGCGGGGGAGAAGGAGGAGGAGGAGGATGAACAACAATAACAACAACAACACAACAGTGGCCCCGTGGAGCTGAAAACTGAAATAGTTGCCTTGGACATACAAGGCTTCTCATGACAATAAACCAACAGGCAACAAGGAGATCCTGTGTTGGATGGGGTGGTTGGTTCTGATTGTCCAAGGGAGAAATAGAGCTATTACATAATGGGACAGGGAAGAAGTCACCTGTTTCCCAGGCAGCCTATTGGCTGTCATGTCCAGGGGTAAACACGAACACAAGACCACAGCAGCCCCATCTAGTGAGGAACCCCAAGGGCTCAGACTTCTCGGGAAAATGGTTCAGTCACTCTGCCAGGTACATAACCATAATCAGCTGAGGTGCTGGTGGGAGACAGAGGAACAGGGAGTGAGTGGAAAGAAGCTTTAAACACCAACAACGGCCTTGTGGTAGATAATTTTCTTCACAGCTCTGCTAGGTATACATATTCATCAGTTTCCCTTTTCTTTGCTCTTTATTTCCTATACTACTTTGATGGTGCTGGACTACATAAGTAGACCTTGAGATAAGGGGATATCAAGGTGAGGTTGTCACAGAATAGAAGACGAAGGGTCAGTGACAATGTGACTGGGGGAAGCAGGTGAAAGGGTTTCTGATTGTAGGAGGAGAGCTCTATTACTACATGAGTGCAAGTTACTGTAGCTGATGTTTATGATGAAGGTTTTGTAATGACATTATGATTTTTTTTTTTTTTGAAACAAAGTCTGGCTCTGTCACCCAGGCTGGAGTGCAGTGTGGGATCTTGGCTCACTGCAGCCTCTGCCTCTCAGGTTCCAGCAATTCTCCTGTGTCAGCCTCCCAAGTAGCAGGGATTACAGGCATGTGCCACCATGCCTGGCTAATTTTTGTATTTTTAGTAGAGATGGGGTTTCACCATGTTGGCCAGGCTGGTCTCGAACTCCTGACCTCAGGTGATCTGCCCGCCTCATCCTCCCAAAGTGCTGGGATTACTGGTGTGAGCCACCACATCCAGTGACGTTTATGAAGGTGGAATGGTGCATACAGATGTTAAGTAGCAACAGGACTGAATCTTGAGGAGACTGAATTAGATCAGTCAACCTCCATCATCAATTCTGCCCACCTTTCATGGAAATTCATGTTCTGCAGAACCTGGAAAGGCAAAAATTACATCCATGGACGTCCCTGAACTCAATAATCATAGCGGCTTCCAGCAGAGGTAGTAGCTTCCTGCATGTGCTGGGAGCCATTCCTGCAGACCCAGCTTCCAATTCAACCTCTGGCTTCCCAAAGATTTGGAAGCCCTCCAATGCCCTGTATTAAATCACTTTCTAATTAAGGTACCTTGAGTGGTTTCTGTTTCCTGCACTGAACTCCTGCATTAATAGGTTATTAGATAAGACAACAACAAGAGTACACAAGGCACAATGCCTGGCACTTACCATATCCTCTCTCAATGCAACTAAAAACATGAATCACAACTGCTTGTTGATTAATTGACTTGACTGAACATCTCCATGCTATTCATGTTTAGTTAGTAGGAGGGCAATCAAGTGCCGTTTTTAAGGAATAATCTCCCTCTTCCACGTGAATATTTTGACTTGGGGGTCTAAAGAACTTTTTCAAGGAACCATCAGACCCCGACGGCCTACCTTTTTCCCGCTGGTTGTGTACACCTGCTTCACAGGAAAGCACAACAGATCTGAGGCTTTGCTGAGAAAGGCAGCCAGGCTTCTCATATTCCTGTGACTGAGGACCACTGTCTGCTGGAGGCGAGGGTCTGTGTTCTTAACCAACAGTATCTTCCGGGGAGTTTTAAGACTCTTCCGGGAGGAGGATGTTCCTGGGGTTTCACGCCGGCCTTTGATATCCCGCAAATGTGGAGCAGTGGGGCTTCTCCCCTGTGGCCAGCCTGGCCCACTGGGGGTCTTGGGGGGCTTCTTATCAGAGCATAGATAGCAGCCACCATCTTCCAGCTGCTCCAGGGCACTGAGGCTGTGCAGGCCCCGGGGTGTGGTGACAGAGCGCACCCCAAAGGAGAGAGGCATGCGCTGAGAGAGCTCGTCCATGAGGGCGCTAAAGGTCTTAAAGGCGCGCTGGTGAACGGCTAGGCGGACCCCAGCAAACTGTGGATCCCCTCGCTTGAGGAAGGTAATCTTCTTGGCTGGAGTGACCTTGGTGACCGAGGGGGTGCGAGCCACAGAGGGCAGGAGGCACTCACGGTGGCTTGGGGCCTGGGTATCCCTTGGCGTGATGTTCATGATGTGGGGGCTCTGGTAGCTGTAACAGGTCAGAGAAAGAGGGGTCAGAGAGCAGGTTGGGAGACTGGCATTTTCTGTCTCTCCCCTTCTTTGTAGAGGTGCTTCCAGCGCACCCCAAATGTGTTCCACTCCACTATGGAAAGGCAGGTGAATCTATTTGGATGGAATAGAAGGAAAGACAGAAGTTGGGCATGGTACAGATCTGTGTTCAAATCCCAGCCTCGTGGACTGCTTGAGTTCAGGAGTTCAAGACCAGCTTGGGCAACATGGCAAAACCCCATCTCTACTAAAAATACAAAAAATAGCCAGGGTGGTGTACACCTGTGGTCCCAGCTACTCAGGAGGCTGAGGTGGGAGGATGGTTGGAGCCTGGCAAGTTAAGGCTGCAGTGAGCCATGATCATGCCACTGCATTCTAGGCTGGGCAATATGGCAAGACCCCGTCTCAAAAAAAAAAAAAAAAAATTCCAGCCCCACCACCTATTCCTGTGTGGCCCAGAAGGTTAAGGATGTGATCTGGATTTTGGTGGCCCCCATCTGTAAAATGCAGCTGTAGCCACTCTGCTCTGCATAGTGGTTATGATCATCAGATGAGTCTAGACATGAAAGTACCTGACACTGAGCAAGTATCTATCTATCTATCTATCTACCTATATTTTTTTGAGACAGAGTCTCGCTCTGTCACCCAGGCTGGAGTGCAGTGGTGCACTCTTAGCTTACTACAACCTCCACCTCCCGGGTTCAAGCGATTTTTGCGCCTCAGCCTCCTGAGTAGCTGGGATCACAGATATATGCCACCACACCCAGCTAAGTTTTGTATTTTTTTGTAGAGACAGGGTTTTGCCATGTTTGCCAGGCTGGTCTCGAACTCCTGACCTCAGGTGATCCACCCACCTCGGCCTCCCAAAGTGCTGGAATTACAGGTGCGAGCCACCATGCCCGGCAATAAATCTTTACTTCTTTCCTTCCTGTTGTTTCTCTTGCCCACTTCTACCAACCTTGAACTTTTCTGAATAGCATTTTAGCAGTTTGTCTCTAAGGAAGTGAGTAAGTGAAGAGAAGACCATGAAACAGAGGTACGAAGGCCGGACAGAGACTCAGGAGGCTTGGGCAGCACACCCCACTCGTGAGGTCTCCCTGTGCGGCCCCTGGGGGTTCTTGCCTCTTTGGACTCCCCCTCTCCAGATGTTCTGTGAAAGGGCTAGAGTGGAAGGCACGGGTCCCAAGCCACGCAGGGACAGGAGTGCAGACAGGGAGACTTGGAGCTCTGTGTCCTTAACCCAAATGGGGAGACACTGTTTGACGCTGTGTGTCTTCTGCATTATATATTGAGGTTTGCTTTCATGTAACCATGATACTGCATCTTACATTTCCCCGAAGTCTGTGCAAGGTGCACGATAAATCCTATAGGTGAATATCTCGGCCACTGCCGCCAGCATGGGAGAGGGGGCTCAGAGCTGCTGTGGGAAGTCAAGGCCATTCTCCCATAGTCCGTTCCTGCTCCCACTTCCTGCCAGAGGGGAGCCCACAGCCTCACATGGGGCTGCACAGGCCTTCTGTGCTCTTCCCAGCCCAGGAGGCCACACCTGCTCTGGGCGCCTCACCTCCCGCTTCTTGCCCACATGAGAATTCCCCATTCCCACCAGGCTGCCTGGCTGCAAGGGTTTCCTACAAGGTGGCCCCTACCTCGCTTTCCTTCTTCGCAGATTTTTACTCAGCCCCCACGAGCCCAGGGAACCCCCCCTCTTCATTACAGCTCCTCCTCTGGGCCTGTGCCCTTTCTGGCCACCTCCACCAGGGCCCGGGAGGCAGAACCTCTGCTCCCCAGGGCTCCGGCCCCGCATTCTGCACAGAGTCGGGCCTGAGAAACGCACACAGATGAGGAAAGCTGATGCTTCCTAGAGCCAGGACTGTTGCAAGCTGGCCCTGAGCACTTACCAGGGGCAAGGAGTCGTCCCAGCTTACAGGTGGGTCAGCCCAGGACCCCTGTTGGTGTGCAAGGCCATGGGCAGCAGTGGTCTTCCCTGCCGTGGCTATTGTGCCATTTCCAGGGTAACTGGGGCCCCCATCTCCCCTTCTCACCCTCTTCTCCATGTAGCCCTATTTGTCCTAAGGGAAAAATCTCCTCTCTCTTTTTCAAAATCGTGGTGCAGAAAAAGACCTGATAATCTGCCCTCATCTCTGACACAAGCTTTAAAATTAGCTGGGCCACCTCCTCCCACCTAACTTTAATCCTTGGAAGCTGCTGTTCCCAGCCCTCAGCTAACCTCCCTGCCAGGCTGGAGCACTTCCCCCAGACGCTGCTGTGGGACAGCCCTTCTTCTAGCATCTTTCATTTGTACCTGGCACTGTGAGCATCCATCTGGCGCACGCTGAGGGAGCTAAAGAAATGAAGCCTGCCTTGTCCCCAGTGTCACTGTGTCTCTCAGCACCATGTCCCCAGCATAACTGTATTATGTATCTTCATTTCCCCTGGAATCACTGTATCCCAGGAACACCATGTCCCCAGCTTCACCCTGGCCCTAGTGTGATCATGTCCCTCAGCACCATGAGGTCTTCAGCATCACTGTGTTCCCAGCATTACAATGTCCCAGCATCACATGTCCTAAGTGTCACCATGTCTTTAGCATTACAATGTCCCAAGCATCACAATGTGCCGGGTGCCCAGCACCACAATTACATCCCCAGCACTGCCATGTTTTCACCCTCACAATGTCACCAGCACTGCCATGCTCACCATTACTGTGTACCCAGCACCACCATGTCTTCAGTGTCACCATGTCCCCCAGCACTGCCATGTCCCCAAAATGACCATGTCCTTCAGCATTACCATATACCCAGCACCTCCATGTTCCCAATACTTCCATGAACCCAGCATTACCATGTCCCCAGCACTTCCAGGTCCCCAGCACCTCCATGTCCCCAAATACCTCCATGAACTTGGCATTACCATGTCCCCAAAATGACCATGTCCTCCAGCATTACCATATCCCAGCACCTCCATGTCCCCAATACCTCCATGAACCCAGCACTAGCACATCCCCAGCACCATCATATCTCTAGCACCACCATGTCCCCAGCATCACCATGCTCCCAGAGTCACATGCCTTCAGAGTCACCATGTCCCCAGAACCACTGTGAAGCCAGAACTACTGTGTCCCCAGCATAACCATGTCCCCAGTACCTCCATGTCCCCAGAATCATGTCCCCAGCACCTCCATGTCCCCAG